ACAAATGGACACAAAATACACAAATCTGTGCTAAGAAAAGCATACAGTAAAGGAACTCTCAAGCACTGCTGGTGGGAATATAAGTTGATGCAGCCACTGTGGAAACAGCATAGAGGTTCCTCAAAAAATTAAAGAAATACTATACGATCCAGTAATTCCACTCCTGGGTCTTTACAAAAACAACTAATTTGAAAAGATATATGCACCCCTGTGTTTCTTGCAGCATTATTTACAATACCCATGATATAGAAGCAGCCATATCCATAACCACAGATAAAGAAGATGTGGTATATGTGTACCATGGAATATTACACAGTCATTAAAAAAACAAACAAACAAACAAACAAACAATAAGAGGCGGGGCGCCTGGGTGGCTCAGTGGGTTAAAGCCTCTGCATTCGGCTCAGGTCATGATCCCAGGTTCCTGGGATCAAGCCCCACATCGGGCTCTCTGCTTGGCAGGAAGCCTGCTTCCCACTGTCTCTCTCTGCCTGCCTCTCTGCCTAGTTGTGATCTTTGTCTGACAAATAAATAAATAAAATCTTAAAAAAAAAAAAAAAAGAATAAGAGGCACCTGGGTGGCTCAGTGGGTTAAGCCTCTGCCTTCAGCTCAGGTCATGATCCCAGGGTCCTGGGATCGAGCCCCGCATCAGGCTCTCTGCTCAGTGGTGAGCCTGCTTCCCTCTCTCTCTACCTGCCTCTCTGCCTACTGTTGATCTCTGTCTGTCAAATAAATAAATAAAATCTTTAAAAGAAAAATAAATTAAATTAAATTTAAAAAGGAATAAAAATTTTAAAAAATGCAAGCCATTTGTAACAACATGGATGGACCCTAGAGGGTATTATGCTAAGTGAAATGAATCAGGCAGAAAAACACAAATACTGTATGATTTCATTTAAAACAAAACAAACAAAAAGCAGAAACAGATTCAAATACAGAGAACAAACTGATGGTTGCTAGAGGGGAGGAGTGCAGGGAGTGGGCAAAATGGGTGACAGGGAGTGCGAGATAGAGGCTTCTAGTTATGAAATGAATAGGTCATGGGAATAAAAGGTACAGCATAGGGAATATAGTCAATGATATTGTAATAGCATGGTATGGTGACAAATGGTAGCTACACTTGGGGTGAGCACAGCATAATATAGAAAAGTTCAATCACTATGTTGTACACCTGAAACTAATGTCACACTACATGTCGACTATACTCAAATTAAAAAATTAAAAATAATTACTTAAAAAAGAAAAGCATACAGTGGAAAAGCACAGTGTTCAAAGGTTGAGTCAAAAAATAACTAACATGGGGGCGCCTGGGTGGCTCAGTGGGTTAAGCCTCTGCCTTCGGCTCAGGTCATGATCTCAGGGTCCTGGGATCGAGTCCCGCATCGGGCTCTCTGCTCAGTGGGGAGCCTGCTTCCTCCTCTCTCTCTCTGTGCCTGCCTCTCTGCCTACTTGTGATCTCTGTCTGTCAAATAAATAAATAAAATCTTTAAAAAAAAAATAACTAACATGAGTGGACCCTATAAACTTTTCAACAGCCCTATCCAGCTATCAAAAGCCCAGTCTGGTAAGGTAAACTTCTATTCCTGATGAAACAGTGCATTGTTCTGGCAATATATATAGTTCTTACTTAACTAAACTACCTGAGCAAGACAAATAAAAAGGATTACAAAGGAAAGGAATATCATCAATTTCTTCTAGATCTGGTACTGATTCTCCTAGGCCTACTCTGATATTTATAGGAACTGAACATATCAACCCCTGCTCAAAACAAGAAAATACTAACAAAGAGTAACATTTTTTTTAATGTCTGTGGTATTAGACATTGACTATATCACATTATAGAATATTCTTTCAAATCCACAACAAATAGGCCAATAGAATAGGCCTAGACCTAACAAGACTTACTACCCCAATGATCTTAACCATGTCAATGGTTAACCAATGCCAACAGCAATATTTCCCTATAGAAACCTGTGTCTTTTTCTTCATTATCATTATCAAAAATCACAGTTCTACCAAATACACTTTGTAACAAGTCTTTAATCCACCAAGAGGGTCCATGAGGCCTAATGAGAGCTGTATAAGAAACCAAATAAAAAGACCCAAGCCCTTACCTTATTTAGCTGCTAATTCAGGAGTTGTAGACAAAGTCCTTAATCTCTTTATCTTACTCTTCCTAGATAAAAAGGAGCAAGAAGATCTCTACACCCCCATCTAAACCATTAATGAAAATACTGCTGCTTTGCCCTGCACTTTCCAAAATGATCTCTCTCCAAGATGATATGGGAGCTATCTGTCCCTCTGCCCCCAAAAGGCGCCAGAGATCACATAAGTTTCAGAATATGGTCTTAATCAAATGTCGTTGGTTTCCTTCCTTCAGGACTTTCCAGAGCCTTTAATCCAAGTATAAAAATATGTCAAAATTCTCTACCATTTAGCTAAAATCTGGAAAAAGGCACAGTAGATGGGAAAATGTACTGGGAAATGTTGAGAAACACACCATTTTGAAAAATTTGGCTACATAAGGGCCAAAGAGGCAGCATAGTATAAAGACAATGGGTTTACAAACTTAGTAATTTTGGACAAATTACTTCACCTTGTGCCCCAGTGTAGTCAATCTACAAAATGGTGGAAATAGTACCAACTTCCTAAAATGGCCAAGGATTAAATGAGATGAATTATAAAATCCTCAGAACCAAGCCTGACACAGAGTAAATAATAAACGTTAACTATTATTTTTGTTACCTACTTTGCAATGTTATTCCAAGCACAGAAATACATGTAATTGACACAACTTATGCCTGGTAAGTAACAAGCATTCAACAAAAGGTAATTTAATTGAACACATATAAAATTCTGATCACAGTGCCTAGCACAAACTAAGTCTGAATTCACAGGCACAGTACTGTAGTGAATTCACTATGATTATGTTACTAAGATTATAGGATCTTTTTATTTAAAGATTTTAAAAATTTATTTGATAGAAAAAGAGGGAGAAAGAGTACAAGCAGGGGGAGGGGCAGAGGGAGAGGGAGAAGCAGACTCCCCGCTGAGCAAGGAGTCTGATGTGGGACTCAATCCCAGGATCCTGGGATCATGACCTGAGCTGAAGGCAGATGCTTAACTGACTGAGCCACCCAGGTCCCCCAAGATTATAGGAGCTTAACCATTAATAAAAACAGTGCTGCTTTGTCTTTAACGGTGTTTCCCCATGAGACTGTGTCTCCCTAGTATGATAACAATGAAGATATCTTAGCCTTGCCCACTTTTAAAAATAAGTTTCAGAATTATTGTATTAATCAAAATTGGGCAAAATTAAGTTCCTTTTCTTCAGGACCCAGGGCCTTTAGTATGAATCTAAAGTAGGCAATGTACAGTTCCCAAATGCATTGACTGAGGAAACTTCCTTTCACTGAACAGTTCTTGGGACTATTGCTCTGTGGAACACAGAATGGAAACTGCCCTAAACTGATGGAAAAACAGAAACAGCATGTAAAGTACTTGCAAACCATTGTGCCAAGAACAATGTCTGGTACATCACATAGAGTTTTAACAAACTTTTGCTGTACAGATGTGAAGGGGTCATGATTTTGTAACATTCCCAGACATACTCAATTGTGGAATCTTTTTTTTGTTTGTTTGTTTGAGCAGCATCTGTAGGACTACTGTGGCAAAAAATACACTTAGAAAAATGCTTCCTAGGGCAGCTGGGTGGCTCAGCTGGTTAAGAGACCAGCTTTTGATTTTGGCTGGCGTCATGGTCAGGGTCCCAGGAACCTAGCCAGACAGCAGGCTCCACACTCATCAGGAAGTCAGCTTAAGGATTCTCTGCTCCCCCTTCCCCTCCCCGCCAGATGTTCTTTCTCTCTCTCTCTCTCTCTCTCTAATAAATCTTAAAAAAAAAAAAAAAAGCTTCTCCATGGAAACGGAATCCTATTAACTAACATGAACAAACACAAAAGAATCTAGTTTTGTATTCCCACTAGCATGGATTGTTCTAGGATTGTTCTATCTATCTAAAAGTCAAAACCTTCACCTCAACAGGTTATCCTCCAGCCACTTGCTGGGAACTAAGGCAGAGCCTAGTAAGAGTGTTCACACATATGCCTGCACTTATGTAACTTCCCTCAACCTCCCCCTTTTTTTTTTCTAACATCTCTAGGGCAACACCACTAGAGGAAAAGCTGGAAAACCAGCTTTTACCAGAAGCACTGGAAAACTGCCACAGTTCTGCTCTTCTTTTTTCTCCATTTTGCCTCTTCCAGGAACTACCCGCACCGGAGTATATGACCATTTTCCCTCTTTAATATCTTACTTCATCTTATTACTGCAGGACAGTAATAGTTTACTTAAGTTCTCTTAAAACCACGGTCATCATTCCTTCTTTTAAGGGGCCTTTCCCCCTCATCTTCCCCTCCTAGATTTGCATTTCTCTAACTTGTATTTATCCTCAAAATGCACTCATACCCCAGAATCAAAGCCTCCTTCACTCTTGGAAAACAATCTTAAGATGAAGTGGAGAGATCACAACGTTTGGTCCAAAAAAAAAAAAAGAAAGAAAAAAGAAAAAGCAGCTATTTCAAGAAGAGGTGAGAAGTTACAGATTTTGTTTATACATCACTGTCATAAATAATACACACGCAGCCAACTTCAGAGCCCATCCATATGCAAGTATAAATGACTTATCAAAGTTCTGCACCAAAGTAAAATTCGGGATTTTTAAACTGTTCCTCTAAGGGACCCGTAAAGGAAAGGGGCTGCTCAAGTTCGAGGAGGGGCGGCCATGGCACGGCACTCGAGAGTCCCGCGGGGACTCGGGAACGCCGCCAACAAGGACGAGCCAGACGGGTTCGAAGGGGTTCCAGATGCCTATGCTGACCACACGGTCAAGTTCGCCCTGGGCCTTCCTCCCCGGAGCCCCCACCCAGCGGCCTGGGGACCCCCCAGTGCCCTCTGCCTCTCGCTGGGATCCACAGGGCTGACAGGGTCCGGCTGGTACCTGGTCGTAAGGGGACTTCTCCAGCATCTGCGTGCACAGATCTGCGCAGAGCTGGAACTTCCTGCGCCTAAAATAGCTCCAGGCGAGGAGCAGCGGCTCCATCTCCGAGCCCATGGCGGCCGAAGGCGGCCCACGAAGGACCAAGGCCCGGGCCAGGTGGGCGGGGTCGGGAGCAGGAGGCGTCCCGCTTTGCCCAGCAACGCGGCGGCAAGGGCCTTGCTTGAGGGGTGGCCGCATCGCGCCTGAGATCAGGAAAATGAAAACCCGACTCGAGCAGAACACAGCTACAAGGCTTGTCAAACCTTGGTTGCGAAGAGGGTGTACTTTTAAAGGGTACATATTTCATTAATTTCGAGAAGAGGGCGCCATGGATAAATGAAGAGGTAGTGACTTAGACACCTACAACTAGGGCCCTCCACTGTCGCTGAGGAGGAGCGGTTGCCTAGCAGCCGAACGCTCTGCTTACTTTGCGAATCTGAGAGAAGTCGCAGGAGTTGACCCTCATACGGGTCCCTGTCCTACTCTTCCAGTGCATGCATCCGCGCCCCTATCATTTACCCTTCACGTGTTCTCATGTTCACAACCATGAGAACAGTTTCTTCAATACCATACTGTCCACCAGAACCCAAAGACCTACATCCTAAAATTCTCCAGTTTGTTTCTTCAAGTCCTCAAAAACAACAACAACTCAGTGTTCAAATAAAAAGGGGCATTGGATACGGCTTAGTCCAAACGACGCATTTTACGTAAGAGAAACTGAAATCGGCTCAGAGAAGAGAAATTATTTACCTGAAGTCTCATGAAGTTAGGAAGCTGGACTGTAATCCGGGTGACTACAGACTGTTAATACAGTTCATTCAACAATGCGTACAGATTCTGGTTTATAAATTGGTGACGTTTTTACAAACGAAATAACGCAACCCAAAAAATTAAAAGGGAGCTTTTTGAAACGCCGTCTCCAAGCAATTACTGTTTGTCAAATGCTTACTTGTGCAGAATGATTTCTTTAGGCACAGTTCTGACTTTCCTCTAGAGATTTACACAGATGACAAATATCTTTAATGGTTATGAAAAAAGAAGTGTGACCGGATTAAATCCAGGTAGACTTCATTATGGAGGACTAGGAGAAGCAAGAGAGAAAAAAATTAACTTGATACTGAAAAACTTTAGGGTCAGGTCTAAATCTCCTTAGCAAAGATAAATCACTCGCAGTTCTCTCAAACTGCTAAAGTACCATATGCACACATTATATTTAATCCAGATATTTCTATCTTTCATAGATATTAAAACTATCTTTCTAACCTTAGAAATGGGTTAATAAGAGTAGGTTTTTTTTCTCCTTTACTAAGCAGTCTTTCTCAAATTTTGCATCTTAGAAGCAAATAGTTATGGTTATTGTAATTACTCTATTTTTGTTTCCCTCAAAGTGCCTCTAGAAATGTATGCTGTCCTAAGCAGTCTACCATTTCTGGGAGTCGGGCTTTAGGACCGCATATGCTGCCAATTGCAATTGGGCTCAGTATTTCAAAGGGACTTTTTGTTTTCTGATAAAATGTAAGCAGATGGTATCTAAGTAATTCTCAACTCCAGATCTTTATTAGACAGATTTTTTTTTAAAAGATGTTTTATTTATTTGAGAGAGAAAGATGAGAGAGGATGAGAGCGGGGTGAGGAATAGAAGGAGAAACAGACTCCCCCCACTGAGCCAGGAGCCCGATGTGGGGCTTGATCCTGGGATTCTGGGATCATGACCCCAACAGAGGACAGCCACTCAACTGACTGAGCAAAATAGGGTCCCCTAGACAGATTTTTAAACAAAATTTTTTACTTTAAATTTCCCCTATTGTTAACATTGTTAACATTTTATATTACTGTGGTACATAAATCACCACAAAGGAACCAATATTGGCACATTGCTATTAATTCCACAGTTTATTCTGATTTTAATAGGTTTTCCCTGATATCCTTTTTCCATTCCGGGATCCCACTTTGGATACCTTATTACATTTAGTTACTATGTCTCCCTTCCCTTCTCTGGTCCTGTGGCAGTTTCTCAGACCTTATTTATGATGACCTTGACAATTCTGAAGAGTACTGGTCAAGTATTTTGTAGCATGTCTGGAAATCTTTTAAAAACAGATGCCCAAATCCTATCCTTAGAGATTCTAAATTAAAAGGTTTGATAGTAGGGGCACCTGGGTGGCTCAGTGGGTTAAAGCCTCTGCCTTTGGCTCAGGTCCTGATCTCAGGGTTCTGGGATTGAGCCCCGCATTAAGCCCCCCATCCGGGCTCTTTGCTCAGCAGAGAGCCTGCTTCCCTTCCTCTCTCTCTGCCTGTCTCTCTGCCTACTTGTGATCTCTGTCTGTCAAATAAATAAATAAAAATTTTTAAAAATGGTTTGATAGTAAATAAATAAATAAATATTTGATATAGAGCTAAAGCATCAGTATTTTTTTTTAAGTTTTCTGGCCAATCTTAATAAACAGGCAGAGTTGAAATCCATGTTGAGATCTACATGGTCTTACATTTTTTTTTTTTAATTTTTTTTAAAGATTTTATTTATTGAGCAGGGAGCCCAATGCCGGGCTCGATCTGAGGACCCTGGGATCATGACCCTAGCCAAAGGCAGACGCTTAACCAACTGAGTCACCCAAGCACCCCGGTCTTGTGTATATTGAGAGTACTGCCAACTTCCTATACAGAATAAGGTGGGGGTTTTTTTGTTTTGTTTTGTTTTGTTTTAAAGATTTTATTTATTTATTTGACAGAGAGAGATCACAAGTAGACAGAGAGGCAGGCAGAGAGAGAGAGAGAGAGAGAAGCAGGCTCCCTGCTGAGCAGAGAACCTGATACGGGACTCGATCCCAGGACCCTGAGATCATGACCTGAGCCGAAGGCAGCGGCTTTAACCCACTGAGCCACCCAGGTGCCCCCAGAATAAGGTTTTTGTAAGTGGGAAAAATAAATGAATAAATACCTAAGTATATAAATAAGTATGGAATTTTAAAAGAGGCATTAAAAATATTTTAGGGCCACAAGAATTCATCTTAGCTTCTTTCAGAAGGTTGTTAATTTTTTTCTTTTAGAAAAGTCAAATGGATGAGAAAAATTGTATATTACTTAGCAAATTGCAGGATGTGAAGCATGTCCAAATGTAGCATAAACTGTGACTTTAAGAGGTTGTAAATATTGTTATTTTTTAATCATGTAAATACATTAATCGATTACATGAATGTATAGATAGACTTTATTACATTTTTTATAATTTTTAATCCATAATGCAGAAAACTTTTTTTAAATGGCGTGCTAGTAACAGGAAGAATAGTAACAGGAAGAATAGTAACAGTTCCTAGTGAAAAGGATAGATAGGAATTACTAGAGCCATTTTCCTACTGAAGAAAATGAAGCACGGAGAAATAACTTAATCCCTTTGAAAGAGTCTGTTTCACAATCAGAGCTCGATCTCAGTTCCTAGATCCTTATCTTTTGCTCTCCAGTAACTAGATACCTCTTTCGGTTAATTCGGTTTAAAGTCAAATGCCAAAGATAACGTAACTTGAAAAGCCAAAGGTTAAATTTTCTTAAATCTTAAATCGGTATTATTCAGGCCATTTAAACTTAAACCAAAAGAAAAGCAAAGTTAAAAATGGAATCTTCTCTTCATCAACAAGTGTTTGTATAGGCCCCTATGCTTGGTGAAAAGAACACAGGGATGAACAAAAGAGGCGTCCAGCCCCAAGGGCACTTAGAATAAAGAGTGTTTAGTGGAAAGTGCAGTGGATTTGAGGGCAGACTTGCTAGCTGTGTTTTCTCAGGCAAATTAGGAATCAATATAGGAAAGAGGTTAAGAAGTGGGCTCTGGAGCTAGAGTTCCTATATTTGCACTTCTGACTCTCCCATGCACTAAATGTGGGGATCTTGGGCAAGTGATGTAATGGTCCTATGCCCCAGATATGTGCTTCATCTATTATATGATGTGTATTCACTGCATTCTTTTAGAATTTTTGATTCTGCGTTAAAGGACAAGAAACATAAACAGGATGGATGAAACTCGTAAGAAATGTTAACTATAGATAGTAAGTATATTATAGACCTATAGGACATGTTAAACATAGAACAGACATTTATGTGTCAAACACATTGAAAGGATGAAAAAAAAATGAAAGTGTTACTTGTGGATAGAAAGAGATGGAAAGCAAAATAAACCTTAAATACGCATAAAGCATGGATCAGCTTTATCAACTCAAACTGGCCACCCATTGGTATCACCCATTCTAGACACTTGCCCTCTGCTTAAAATACATACTGTTGGGGTAACTGGGTGGCTCAGTGGGTTGGGCCTCTTCCTTTGGTTCAGGTCATGATCTCAGGGTCGTGGAATTGAGCCCCACATCGGGCTCTCTGCTCAGCGGGGAGCCTGCTTCCCCCCTCTCTCTGCCTGCCTCTCTGCCTGCTTGTGATCTCTCTCTCTGTCAAATAAATAAAGTCTTTTAAAAATAAAATAAAATATGTACTGTTGCTCACCAGATTATCACAGACTTATAGCTGTAGCCATGCATATTTTAATAGACTCTTCATCTCTCCAATAGAGCAAGCATATATTGGCACCACAGACCTTCTTCCATCTTTGAACTTTCTTGCATGCCCTTAACTCTGCTTCTTGTAACCACACCGCCTGCAGTAAGGGAAAGTGGTGCAAAGACATTCAGGACATAGGAACCTTGAGCAACCCAATATGGTCCTTCCTCCTATTTGTGTTAAATTCTTAACCTACCCAATTCCCTTTCCCTTTGCTTCTCACTGTAGATTTTAAGTTGATTCAACAAACCAGATGATCTGAGCATTTTAATTTGGTCTATGAACCTTTCAGTTCCAGGACTTGTGGGATCGCCTACCAGTTTGTGTACTTAGAGGCCACCATGCCATTTCTCCACTATGTATAAAATGGGGACGACGATGATGACTGCAACAGTGATGATGATGACGTAGTGACTATCTTACAGGATGCTTATAGAGATCAAGCCAATTTAATTTAGGTAAGGCATAATTACATTGTCTTTTCAAACATTACAGAAACACATTGGGATGGAAACCAACAACATATGCAACCAAGGATTGCCTCAATTTTCAGTCAGGCACATTTATTACATGCTAGAGAAAGAGCACTTTGAGACA